GTATTGGGAGTCTCACCAGATTTCATCTGACCAGTAATTCTGGTCATTATTGAGTTTTTGGATTTTGTTCCATGTTTTCCCTCTCACTCTATCCAGGATCTCCAGACTTGATCCTTTCCTTAGCGGTTGACATTGGTAGCTGGGCACCAACTAGTCTTTTGGTCTCAAGGGCCCTCGTGTCCTAGGGCTGATTGCTTCTAAATGCCCATTTTTTTGTTTTGTTTTGTTGCGTTGCGTTCTTCTTCGCTTCCGACGCTAGGAGACTATTAGCTGTGTCTTAGATGGCCACTTGAAAGCTTTTAAGACCCCAGTCACTACTTACCAATGTAGGATGTGGAGTAATGCTTTTCTGTATTTTGTTGTGTCAATTGAGTCTGGTGTCCCCCAGTACTATGGATATCTCTCCCATGGTGTCTGGTTGTCTGTGAGGGATTACTCTGTGTCTGTCTTCTGTTGTTTCTGTGAGGACTGCAGGTATTTTGTATCACTGGTGCCTGTGCAAGATTAGCCTCAGCTGAATCTATCCTTGGTCTAGAGTATATTTCTGTTCACTGACCCCCATCTTAGGTATTTATGTGTTTATCTGTAGAGCCTAGTGTTTGGTGTTAATGGTGATGCAGTATTGTGGACACATTGCTTGGTATCAGCATCTGTCGTCTATTTCTTATGTACACAATTCAGTGTCTTCCCATTTCCTAATGTTATCATGGTGGTCATATATCCTTCCCATATATCCCTCCCCCTACCCATGTCAGCATGTAGGCCCCAACTAGCCCAAAATTAATCCTTCCGCTTTGTTCCCCATCCCAGTAACCTACCAGGTGAGTTCCCTTTCCCAAGCAAACCTTTCTCTCTTTTTACAGTAATGGGTTCATACAGTACTTGTCCTTCTGCAATTAACTTATTTCACTCAGCATAATGCCCTCCAGGTTCATCCACATTGCGAGATGATTTGTGTATCCATCATTGTTCTTTAATGTTGCATAGTATTCCATTGTGTGGATATACCATAATTTGGTTATCCACTTATCCGTTGATGGACATCTAGGTTGTTTCCATCTCTTTGCTATGGTGAATTGTGCTATGATGAACATAGGTGTACATATGTCTGTTTGTCTGCTATCTCTCAACTCTTTAGGATATATTCCTAGTAATGGAATTGCTGGGTCACATGGTACTTCTATTTTCAGTTTTTTAAGGACACGCCATCCATTTGCCACAATGGTTGTACCATTTTACAATCCCACCAGCAGTGCACAAGAGTTCCAATCTCTCCATAACCTCTCCAGCATTTGTTACTTTCTGACCTGCTGAACTTTGCTATTATTGCTGGGGTGAGATGATATCTCATTGTTGTTTTGATTTGCATCTCTCTAATGATTAATGATCATGAGCAATTTCTCATGTGTTTGTTGGCTGCCTGCATATCTTCTTTGATGAAGTGTCTGTTCAAATCTTTTGCCCGTTTGTGAATTGGGTTATCTGTCTTCTTGATGTTGAGGTG